ATTGCACAGAGGCTGCTCAACGAATTGTGTAGCTTGTTAAGGTTATTTTGGTTTACCAAACCAAAGAATTTGAATACTTTACTGTATTACTTTATTAATCATTACATTCAGAATAGAATGTGTACTGTACTTGTATATAACATATTCATTGCTGCTTCAAAGTGTTATGACTGCAAGCTTTAAAGCAACAAAATGCAAAAACAGTGCAAAGGTCTGAATACCATCTGTGTGTCAGACCAGCTTATTTCAACATTGAATTGTTATAGTCACTTTTTAAAAAAATCAGAAAACAATGCTAATAATCCATAGTTCTTTCGACCTGTCTGTATTGATTTCTTGTATTGAATACCCATACTGACTGCATTCTCAGACAATTTAGCTACAAAGTCTAAGATGTCAGACAGTCTGGATTGTTAATTTCTTCCATGGTCCCCATTTTTGTACTGTGAGACAGTGACTACAGTAACTACAGATATAGTTTATCTGAACATTTCCTTTATACCAAACAATATTGACACAGTTTGTTTAAGACCATGCACTTCTCTCCTGCAATGAAGCACGACCTACACAGAAACACAGATACACCTTTTCTAGCTTCAGTATTTTGCTCCAAAGTTATACATTTATTTTTTCAGAAAATTTAGCACTAGAGCGCATCACTTTTGAAAATCACTCTGGCCACAGGAGTGGCTCTTAAACGTGTGCAGGCCCCAGTCGTTGGGTTGTTGCCGTTTTATGTACAGGCGCAGCGTTTGTAGTCCTGTGTTAGAGGCAGACGTCTGTAAAACACTTTTAATTTTCCAATTTCATATTCTTCCAAACACTGCCTTTATATTTTACATACCCAATGAAAAGGGTATTATTGGCAGGATGTGTGGGCCAGCAGCTGAATCACTGGCTCTCAGAGAACTTGCACATGTGGGCAGAAATGGCATGAATCACATCCCCTAGACGGAGAATCCTGGGTAGTTTTTTTTTTCTTGCTGTTTTCTGGTGCTTTATTTGTTCATTTTTTTCATTTCATTTCACCCTCGCTCCCTGGCTATGGTTGCGCAGAGGTAGGAGCTGAAAGATCCCGGACTCTGAGTTTTAAGGAATGGGACTGATAATCTCTCTACTGTCTGTGGCCGTGGGCATCATCAGGTAGGATTGTGTGTGCTCATCATCGCACCAAGCTGCATCAGTGGAAATGAAACACTCTATGGTTACAGCATTAGACTTGCATGTAATGATTTAGGCTCTGATTTAGCCTAGTCAGGAGACTCGGATGTGGGCAGTTCTTGATTGTGTGCAGGAGTTGATTTTCTACTGTTTTGTACTAGGGGACATAAGTGGAAGTGCATTTTGAATTGAAAACAAGAGGCTCTTCTTTGCCCAGAGTGTTGTGGAACAAGCTACCTAGCCATATTGTTAAAGCTGATACTCTTCTTTCAAGAAATAGCTGGAAGAGATTTTTGGATCCGTTAGCTACTAACAAAAAGGCTAGAAGGGCCACATGGCCTCATATTGTTTATAACAGTTCTATTTTCTTATATATCATCATATGTATTTACTATGAAAGCATAGTTCCTTTAATTATATCTGCAGTGCGATTTGTAAAACAGAGGAAAGCAACAGTGAGTGCATGGTAAATTAGCATAAAATGGATTATCTTTTATATTATCCAGGTAAACATCCCCAAGGATTGTACTTCAGGTCCACTCTGTACTCCTCAGCAACATTTCTTGTTGCTTCACTACTAAATCTGTGTAATGTCTCAGTGTTTTGTGTCAGTGTAGATGGAACACTTCAGACCAAAGGGGTTTGGGGAAAAATATGCATGCAATCACTTTCTTCCTTGTGTTTTTTATGAGGTTCTGCTTGACGATATATTTCAATTGTTTACAGTGAAATGTGCAAAAAAACATTCTTTCATAGAGTATTTATGGTTTGAACCTAACACTGTCTGTTGTTCATTGTGAGGAAAAAAACATACGGAAAGGGTTTGGGGAGTCAATTAATTTCAAGAAGAAGAAGCTCTCCAGCCATGTTGTTAAAGCCAGTATCCTGGATTCCTTCAAAAACATCCGTATATGATGCTCAGTATAATAAGCTACCAGCAACTAATTTTCTTTACTCAAAAAATTGTGGGAATATCAAAGAAACTTTCCAGCCATGTTGTTAGGGCCAATAACCTGGCTCTTTTTAAGAATCGGCTGGGTTAGACCTTCAGATCAATTAAGTACTCATTTCCAAATGTGCTAAATGGTCCAAATGGCTTCTTTCTTGTTGGTTTTTTACCTTTTATGTTTTGTTGCAGCTCTCTAATTTCATAAAAATTACTATACTTAAATTCCCAATTACTTATTTTTACTACATTGCTTTTCAAGTCCCACCTTAATGCATTGTTGTTAGCTGACATGATGAAGTTATCATTATAAATAGGTGCTTTAAATGAAGACAAGCACTTAACTGTGTGATCTTGTGTGTGAACTAAACTGTGTGATCGGTATAATAGTCTGATGGTGAGGGAACGCCAGATTTAGTCATCTGTCTTAGAGGTGTGGCGCAGTCTGATTTAGACTGATCACATCCTGATACTTAAAGTATAAATACTTTATAAGAGGAAAAGAGGGTAAGAGAATGAGAAGAAGAGAGGGAGAGGAAGAATGAACATTGGGAATGAGAGGAATGGGGAGAGGTGAAACAGGAACAGAGTGACTGAAAGCAATTGATTTGGAGATAAGTGGCAGAGTTTGTTTTCTTCTACGTTTGCTTTGGGAATGGGAGTGGGAATTGTTACACTGGAGAGGTGAACAGAAAGGAAGAAAGGCAGAGGAACAGGAGAGGCAACCTTGTGTGGAAAATTTTATTCTGGCGTGTAGAGGTTAAGTGATGCCCAGGTGCCCAGGCCCTCCCTGAAAACGCATTGTCCCAATTCCTTTTCCTTTTTTAAATTCTTGACACCAAGGTCCCATTTTATTTTACTGCAGGTTTTCTAACAAGTAAGGATGTGTAATCACTTAAGTTAAAAGCTCATATTAAATGCAGCAGAAACAAGATACAATGCCCTTGGAAGTACTAGGAGAACAAGGTCTGTATTTTTGCTGTTATTTTTGCAAAACATTCATTCAATTTGTAAAATCAAAATCAAACTAAATCAATCATATTTATCAAATGCACAACAATACAGCGTACAGCAGTAGTTCCTGTCAATTAAATGTCTTTTCTGCAAGCTCACAAAAATCACAAGAATCACAAAAATCACAAAATTAAGGTTACAAAAATGAGGTTACATAATAATAGATAATAATGTAATAGAAACTGCATAAAACTCAATATGAATAGTGTTGCTATGTGTCCATGGTGTATGCAATATATACAAGTAGCGCAGTATGCTGAATACAATTAAAACTGTATGTCCATGTAGCCATTACGGGTGATTTGCTAAAGGAGCTGCAGGTTGGCTATTTAGAAGTCTTATTGCCTGGAGGTAGAAGCTGTTCCTTAATCTGTTGGACTTTGACCGAATGCTTCGGTACCATTTACCGGACGGAAGGAGAGAAAACAGTTTGTGACTGGGATGACTGTGGTCCTTGAGAATGGACCTGGCCTTCTTAAGACATCTAACTGAGTATCTAGCTGAGTATCCTGGACGTTTGGCAGCTCACAGCCGGTAATGAGCTGCGCTGACTTCACCACCCTCTGCAGTACTTTGCGATCCCAGGCGGAGCAGTTCCCATACCAGGCAGTGATGCAAACAGTCAGGATGCTCTCAATAGTGCACCTATAGAAGTTGGCCTGGATATGTGACGGCATGCCAAACGTCTTTAGCCTACGGAGAAAGAATAGGTGCTGCCATGCTGTTTTGACCACGGTGTTGGTGTGGTGGGTCCAGGTTAAGTCCTCTGAGATGTTAACTCCCAGGAACGTAAAACTGCTGACCCTCTCCACTGCAGTTCTATTAATATAGGTGTTTGATCTCCTTCCGTGTGTTTCCTATAGTCCACAATCATCTCCTTAGTCTTACTGATGTTCAGAAAGAGGTTGTTCTCCTGCTCCTGGTTTCAACCTCCTCCCTGTACGCAGACTCTTCACCATCTGTGATCAGGCAGATGACTGTTGTATCATCCTCAAACTTAATGATGGAGTTTGAGTTATGCCTGGTGACACAATCATGGGTAAATAAGGAGTAGAGTATGCGTGATCATGAGATTAATAAGGATGATATATACAATATATGTTTAATGTTTGGGTAAATAGGGTAAATAATGCTACATTTGACAATAATATAGCAAAAACATACTGTAATATTTGACAACCTATGTAATCATTCGAGATGCTTTGCTGCAGCCATTTGTGTTCCTGCTTACTCTTGAGTTTGTCTGTCTTCAGTTTTTTTCTTCAGGATGCAAAATGGACTTAAATCTGGAGATCCAGTCTTTCCAAGACTTTCCATTTTTTCTCCCAATCAACTGCTTGGTTGTGCACAGGCTTTATGTTTTGTAAAGCAGTCTTGTGAAGCTACCTAATAAGTATAGGAATACATGTATTTTCTACAGCAGAATAACACAGTGTTTCTGCAAAATCAGAATTCATTTTGCTGTTGCCATTATCATCGTCATCATCAATAGATGAGTGAACCAATGCCAGAGGCAGAAAAGCATCTCCAGGTTCTTCTATGTTCTTTTGAGCAAATTCTAATCTAGGTCTTCTGTTCTTGAATCTGATGAGAAGTTCATCTTGCTCTGTAGACTTTGTTATTCTGCGGCTCTCAGTCTTCAATATGCTTCCATTTGACATCTGTCTCAACGGCTGCAATCACCAGCTTTGCTCATAAGGAGCTCAGTAAAGACCTTAGCGTTAGTTCTGCTCTGGTCTCTGTTAGTGAGAGAAGAACCCAAGGAATGGTTGAATGTTTAAGAGGGCTAGAGCAGTGTAGCTCCTTGCGACCAGAAACAGGGACACACACAATCAAGTGTCAAGAATATTGACATGGCTGTCCTCTCTGTCTTTCTTAGGACGTCTCCTTTCCGCTGGAACACAGGCACCAAGGAGCGCATGCTGATCAAGGTGACAGACCGCGAGCCCAGCTTCTTGTCCCACCAGGGCAACGGCTTCTCCCCTTGTGAGGGTTCTGGAACGGGAAGTGGGACTCGCTCACGACGTTCGTCCGGGAACGCCCCCCCTGAGCCAGACAGCCCTTCTGTCTTCTACCCTGAGCGCCGTCAGTCACCATTCCTGAAGCGGGCTGATCTAGGGGGGTCACCCCTGCTGGGGGGAGGCGGGGGAGGGCAGCTGCGGCGCGCCTCAGGTGACTCCCAGCCTCCCTCGCCCCGCTACGCCTATGAACCACCCCTGTACGAGGAGCCTCCCTCTGAGTACCAGCCCCCTATCTATGAGGAGCCTCCCACGGACATGCACTGCGAGGCTTCCCCCTACAGCAAGGCCTGCTCCTCATCACCATCCCCCTCCCCGCAACAGAAATCTCCAGCCCGCAAGTCCCAATTGCCTCTCTTCCACTCCCCAAAGCAGGGCTCCCATCACTCGCCCTTCCAGCAGCTGGTGCTCACCAAGCAGAAGTGTCCAGAGAAGTCCATGAGCCTGGAGTATAGTCCGGCAGGGAAGGAGTACGTGAAGCAGCTGGTCTATGTGGAGCAGTCAGGCTCCAGCCCCCGGTTCAAGACTGCTGACCGGCTGCATCGGTACCAGACAGCCAACCCTGGGGTAGGAGGAGGCATGGTTGGGGGATACGGTGGGTTCGGGGGCTCCTATACCCTGCAGCACAGCCAGTCTCTGATCAGGGACCCCCGATCTGCATGTGACTACAGTAGGGGAGAGATGGGAGGCGGCGGAGGGACAGGTGGAGGAGGTGGGGAGATGGGTGAGCTGCGACAGCGCCTACACTATGAGGATTCGATGTCCTGGTCCAGCAGCAGCCAACATGACTCCCTCTCCTCCTCCACAGGGGGTGGTTACTCTCCTGGTAACCGGAAACGCAAGACCCGCAAGCCCTCTCTGCCCCAAGAGGTGCTAGCCCACTGCGGGGAGGGGCCCAGTGACTGCGAGGGAGGGGGCAGTGGCCGGGTGCCTGACTCGCCCCACTCTGCATATCCCGAGTCCTTCTTGGCTCACGCTCGGCTGGCTTGGGAAGCCCAGCAAGTGCACCAGCTGAAGCAGCGCAGCAGCTGGGATGCAGCTCAGCAACAACAGCAGCAGCAGCAGCAAGGGGGTGGGGGTGGAGGGGGGAGTGTATCTCAGAACCAGCAGTCGCATGGAGGGGGCGCCAAGGACGGGTACGAGAGTGACGGCGCCGTGCCCCTGCCCTTGCCTGGCCCCGTGGTGAGGGCATTCAGCGAGGACGAGGCATTGGCACAGCAAGATGGACGCCACTGGAAGCGCAGCACATTCGAGAGGCTGGGCTTCCCCCAGGTGCTGTTGGAGAAGAGCCTGTCAGTGCAGACCAACCTGGCATCACCGGAGCCATACTTGCACCCCTCACAGGTCAGTAAGGAGAGAAATCTCATCCCTTTGTCCTCAGACATCCACAATCAATGGCCAAACATGCCCCCTCCACCACCTCTCAACATCCAGCTTTTTTTAAAAGAAAATGTCAGTATGCTTTTGAGCTGTTAGTGTAATCCTAATCAAGACATTTCACCTGCTTTGATTCCTGATGTGGTCAGAGCTGTGTGTGGATGTCAGTGTGGTGTGGAGCGGGTTAACACCTGTCTGCAGTCCCCTCCTCATGACCTCCCTGCACCACTGCTAAGATAAATAACCTTGTATAATTGCCCTGCGACTAAAGAGAATTGCAAGCTAATTATGGGGCCATTATTTCTGCTTTCCTGCTTTTCACGAAGCACCAATTTGTTCACTTTAAAGAACTCTTCAGCGGTCAGCATTAAAAATCCTTTCTTGCTGCCAGTGCTTGAAATTTCTAATGTATGGCAGGCAAGTCCTTCCTTGACTTGTGAGGGCTTGTACATTGAGCAGTTTGCCCTGATCTTTAAGCGGTATTGATAGTTGCTGCTCTATTGAACTGTGACACAGTTGTACCAGGCTGAGAACAATTAATAAAACCAAAATCGGTCCAGCAGCAAAACAGCAATTGTGTTGCTGCTGCAGTAGGTGGGAAGAAAGTCAATCGAAGGCCTCAGCAGGGAGGATCACCCAGCAGGAATAGCAAAATGAAAGAAAAATAATGTATTATCCCCTCACCCTGCATACAGCAAAGCCAGCACTCAGGATTCCTGGGCCTTTTTATGGAAAAAAAGCCAGAAAATGAGAGAGTAATTGACCCAGTCAGTGGTTCTTAGACCTGGTTCTGTTATACAGTGGTGTAAACTGGCTTTTAATCCAGCCAAGTTTTTAATCATAGGCTATTGTTTTCTATTTTGTGTTTGAGGCCTTTGTTTAAATTAGCTTTCAGCTCTTAAAAAGATTAATGAGATTTTGTACTAGGTATCTCTGTGATAATTAGGTGGTTTCAGGTGTTCCTTCCAAAGTATAACCAACTGGACCTAAGCAGCAAGAAAACACTGACTCATATTGGGAGTGTCTGATACAGTGTCTTTCACACTTGTGCAGGTTCATCAACTGCTCAAAAGCTGTTAAGTCAGAAATAAGAGAGCAAATATTAATTAACAAGTTGAGGAGAGACTACATGTAGTTCTGTGTGAAGCTGTTAAAAATAACACACTCATTAGACTATTGTTGTAACCAAGGTCTGAGTGTAGAAGTAAACTCTAAGCCAGCAACTAGATCAGTTACAGACACCAGTTTGCACTGCTAAATCAAGAACCCAATTGAAACAAAAACCAGCAGAGACAGGGACTTCCAAGATGAAGTGAGAGCAACTATACTAAGTGAAAAAAATGAATTAAACTCCCACCTGAACTAAGTGAGCAAAGAGATGCTGTCTTAGTTCAGTTGTTGAAAATGCTCTCAGAGCCTGTGGCCAGCCACAACACTCCTTACTTTATTGTCTGCAGATTTCACTTGACCAAAGTGCTTGACAAAATGCCCTCCCTCTACCAGAGCTTACTTTGATCAGGTACTCCTCTTGAGTTAGACATGCTACTTCTGCTGTTTGTGTTGCCATATGATAGCACAAGCTGTCCAGAATCGATTGGACACTTAAATAAAATCAATTAAAAATGGCTGATAAGTATTCAAAAACATTTCATGTTTCATATACAGTAAATTATATTTCTGGCTTCCCAGAATTCCCCCGAGGGAGTCCCAAAGGGTTGCATGTTGCACAGTTTGAACTACAGCTGCATGACCACCCCGTAGCCTGATCTTGTCAGATACCAGAATCTAAACAAGGGTGGTTTAGGCAGTCCTGGGATGGGAGACCTCCAAGGAAAACCAGTTGCATAAGTGATATTGGTAGGTGATGCCCTTTCCTCTGGAAATGCCAGTTACCACTTTAGTTAGTGGTAACTAAAGAAATGTGTGCTGCAGAAGATGCCATCCTTCAGTTAAGACATTAGTCTGAGGTCCTGACTACATTACAGATGCCATAGCACTCTTCAGAAGTGTGAAATAGTTCACCCCAGTGTGCTAGCTGAATTCTGCTCTCAGCTTGTAAACTTTGGGCTCCCTGGAGTTCCTGCTTAATCGATTTGGTACAATTTGCCTTAAACACTGCTTTAATCAACAGTAAGCCTATGGCATAAACAATCTGTGATCCCGTTTTAATCTTTATGGAATTGTTTTTGATGGCAGCTCACAGACTGAGGCCATGAGTTATGTTTATTGTTTGACATACAGAGAATATGACAGCCACTTGCTTAAGCATAGCTGTGCTTTTCATATTGATCTGCTTAAAAAGAATGTAGTTATACAGTTCGAACAATATAATAATAATTCCTTACACTTATATAGCGCTTTTTCTGGACACTCCACTTAAAGCACTTTACGGGTAATGGGGACTCCCCTCCACCACCACCAATGTGCAGCATCCACCTGGATGATGCGAGGGCAGCCATAGTGCGCAAAAACGCTTACCACACATTAGCTATCAGTGGGGAGGAGAGCAGAGTAATGTATCCAATTCATAGATGGGGATTATTAGGAGGCCATGATTGATAAGGGCCAATGGGAAATGTATCCAGGACGCCGGGTTTACACCCCTACTCTTTTCGAGAAACAGCCTGGGATTTTTAATGACCACAGAAAGTCAGGACCTCGGTTTTATGTATCATCCGAAGGACGGCACCTGTTTACAGTATAGTGTCCCTGTCACTACACTGGGGCATTAGGACCCACATATGCCGCAGGGTGAGCCCCCCCTGCTGGCCCCACTAACACCTCTTCCAGCAGCAGCCTTAGCAGCAGTTTTTCCCAGAAGGTCTCCCATTCAGGTACTGACCAGGCTCACACCTGCTTAGCTTCAGTGGGTTGCCGGTTGTGAGTTGCAGGGTGATATGGCTGCTGGCCTCATTGTCATGATAGCCTCAGTCTTGCAGAATTGTGTGTAAATCCTGATAGCTGGCATGACAGTGTGGGAGTGGGAGGAGCCACAGCGAGCACCGGTAAAGTCAAGTGAATGACGGGGTGGCCTGTTCCATATTTCTGCAACTCTTTAGGTAAAACAGTTGAATTCTGTCCTCGGTTTTAAATGCACATAGTTTCAATTTCTGTCCTCTGGTCCGTGTTTCACAGTTGATTTGTAAACCTGGTAACCAGGAATTACTATAGAAACAAGCCACTGCTGGAAAGTGGAATGAAAGAACAAGAAACACGATGCTTTCTTCATGTGTGGGGAGACAGAGGGAGAGAGCAGGTGTAGGAGGGTTAAGGAGAACAAAAGAAAACGAAGGTGAGAATGGTTAGGGACATGGTCCAAACAGATCTGAGATGTAGAAAGCAATGAATTGATTATTGAGAGCTGAGGGCAGGTGTGAACCTATTTAAATTACAAGTCTGGCTGCTGGTGTCTTTCTGGAACAGGAGTCCTTGAATCCCTGTGAATGGATGCAGACAGAAAGGTTAATACAGGTTAGTCATGACAGGGAGAGGTAAAACTTAATCTAAATTGGCTTCATGGAGGTCACCAGACTTATGTCATTGGTTGTTTTATCAGGTAAGATTCTAAGGAAGGGGACATGGTGGTGCAGTAGTTAGCATTGCTGCCTTGTAGTGCACGGACCCTGGGTTCAATTCAGGACCTGCAAAGCTGTCCCGTGTGGCTATGTGGAGTGCTGTCCAGGGTGTACCCCACCTTGCACTTGTTGCTTCCTGGGATAGGCTCCAGCTCCCCCTCAACTCTGAATTAGATGAAGCAGTAAGCAATTGGATGGATGGATTCTAAGATGTTGCCTTCATGGAACTTTTTGGGTGGGTTAAATACGTTAGTGCAGAGTCTTGATGTCTTAAAATGAGTATCATTCCCAAACTCAGTGTCTTACCTGGTTTTCCCACATGTACCATTTGTTTACTATCCGCCACTGTATGCTGTGCTCACTGTCTGCAAGGCTTCTGTTAAAGAAAGAGAACACCTCTATCCCCCCTCTTTCACACAGCCATGCATTCGACACCAGCTGCAGAACAGTTAACAAAGACGCGGTCGCTCATCTCTGCTGGTGGGATTTTCCCTGATCTCGCCATGTGTGCTAATTGGAAAACGTGTCAGACGGGCAGCAGAGTTCAAACAGGAGGCTCCCGCGTGAGGGTGAGAAGAAGCCTAGTAGGGGACATAATTGAGAATAGAGAGGAACAATCCCCCTCCCTCACTTTCTCACTTTCATGTAGCAGGCATTGCCCTAGAGTTGAATGCATTATTAATTGAACAAGCCCGTTGGTGGTTTGTGCGATTACATTTGCACTTCCTTGGGTGTCATCATTTGTATACAGTTGGGTTGTCTGTATATGCATGTCGGTATCCTTTGACTCTTCTCTAATGCTTGTGCATGAGGTGGTGTGTACAACAGAACCAGAAATTGACCTTTTAGGTATCTGTAAGCATTTTCTGGACTTCTAGCCTGCACTTCCACACACTATCTGTTTGCTTTCTTTCTTGTGAAGCTCAAATAGGTTGAACTGCTAATCCATCCACATCCTCATGTTATGGTTTCCACATAGTGCTTCCTGAAATACAGCTAGTAACAGTCCACTCCACTTACCTGCATGGTGTATATCTCTAGATTCTGCTGCAATTCCTAAACAGTTTTTGTCCTTGTTTTGCAGCTGAACACTTGATATTTGTGTTTTATTTTAATCTGGGTAGTTCGGATATTACCTGAAGGAGACTGCCACAGACACAACAGCTCTATTACTACAGACGTTGACAGATCAGATACTGTTTGATCATTCGTATGGGGTAGGATATAGGGGCACTGTAGTGAGAGACAGGAAAGACTAAGTGGATTTGCAAAATGTTGCCACTTTTAATTGCAGTTCTCATTCAGACATTATAGGTCAAAAGTGCTAAAAAATTAAAATAAGGCAAAAGTGAAATGTCAAAGAACACAAAATGAGCTCAACAACGTCCCCAATCCTTCTCATTAGCTGCATGATTAACACATGATATCCTTTATCTCAGATATTTCAACCTCAGCTTATAGGCTTATAGATTTTCTTTAATTAATTTTTTACCTTATTTTACCTGAGCATATTTCCGAAAAAGTATCCTAAGAGCTACATGTCCTGGGATGGAGAACCTCCAAGAAAAAACAGGTTGCTACTGTAAGTAGTGTCAGTGGACCAGTAAGTGGTGCCTTTTGCTCAGGACCAGTATTTCCAAACCGGTATATGTATTATAAGAACTTGGACATAGCAGGGTAAATTTGAGATCACTATGAGATATCTACATGAGAATATGATCTCGTGAGAATGTGAGATAACTCCATGAGATAACTCATGGAGAAGCCCAGTAAGCTGGTATAGAGGAAAAATAATTTTCCTCTAAGGGTCGTACCCTTGAACAAGATGATTCAATTGAGGTTACTCCAGTGAAACATCCTGCAGTATACAGTAAATGGATACTCCTTGCGTTGTCACTGGAGTGAGAGTTTGATCTCATTTTTCTGATCTCTATAAAAATAAAAAAGGTTTAATGTTAAGTAGGATAAAGAAAACATCTGCAAAGCCAAACATGGCTTTGTGCCAGTTAAGAACTATGTCAAAACAAAAATATATGGTTGTGTAATGTCTATGTTACTCATACTGTAGCTAATCTAAGAAAAAAGGCGTATGCGGTAAAACCTAATCTGGGTATTCTAGAGTGCACAAATTCTGTCTGAATAGTGAAAAAAATTTGTATAGCCATAGATCTAAGAGTATGTTGAATAATATGTGTGAAGGATTTTGTGTTTAAATTAAAAGTACCACATCGGTTTTGTTTTGTTAGCAACCCACAACAAAGATGGTCTTGCATTTTATGTTGCAATTTACTGTACTTAACAGCTAAATAAAAAAGACAGTTTGCTAAAGTTATGAATGAAATAGTATTACGTGATACTGTCCTGAATCATACTGAAATTGTAACTGCATTGGTGTGCAGTAGCTGCTCAAAGAGGCCTTCTTTCTTCTGAATTATCTGAAAATCTCTCAGCAGCAGAGGTACGTCCATTGGACAACAATTAAAGGTACAGAAAATAATGTAGCTGGTCTCTTCAGCACGCTACACTTTCATGCCAACACTTTCACTTTCAATACAAGCACTGGTTTTGACAGGTAGTTTCCAGAAGAATTCTGATAGTCATTAAGCCTCTGTCCTGTATTTAACCTCCTAGAAAACTGTGGCATTATGATTTGCCTACTTACTGGTTTACTGTAACTTGCTTTTATGGTTGTCACAGTCAGATTTTAATATTAAAATAATGATGGCTTTATCAGTGGATAATGTAATACTTGATTAATGTATTCACTTTTATCACTGTTTAGTATGCAGGACCATAGCATTTTTTAAGTCAGGCTTTTTTCTACTCTGCAAGCTAATCATTATATTTTTGAGTCTCTTCTACTGTATGTCTCTTCTGCAGTTCCAGCTGCAGATATAATAGCCTTTATTTCAAAGAGATTTAGATAAAACAATTAAACATACTTATATACCTGCTGTTGGATAGCCTGAAATTGCCATCTCTAGTGGTATTGATATTTTTCAGTCATTAAAATTATTACCTCAAATGCAATAAAACAAATAATAAGAATAATGTGGTTAGTGCTAATTATTATTTCAAGTTTATGATACAGTGCTCAGTCACCGTTTTATAATTTTTTGACATTTTGACTTAATAGCCTTTAAGTCAAAATAGCTTGCAAGGCTAGAAACCAGAAGTAAAGTTAATTAACATTAATTCTTTTTTCGTTCGCTGACAGTGTGAGACATGAGGTCTGACATTTGTCCTGTCTTCCCCACCTTGTCTCTCTCTCAGTCCGAGGACCTTGGAGCCTGTGCCCAGTTCGAGAACAGTCGGAACGCCCGCAACATGATGCCAAGTGCCAGCTGTGTCTTCCCAGAATTCACGCTGCGGAAGCCTTCCTCAGAGACAGATATCGAGAATTGGGCGTCCAAACACTTCAACAAGCATACACAGGTGAGACACATTGAAGAGCACAGAAGCTTTGACACACTGGCACAGCCAGTTCTTCCCATACATCCATTCTTTACCTGCTTTATCCAGTTTAGGGTTAAGGGGGAACTGGAGCCTATCCCAGCAAGCAACAGATGGGATGCAGGGCACTTACAGACACACACACTCTCATACCAGATCCAATTTTCTCAGAAGCAAATGAACCTACCATTATGTCTTAGGACTCTGGGAAGAAACCAGAGCACATGGAGGAAATCCATATGAACACAGCGAGAACATAGCACCCTAGCTCGGCTAAGTGCCTTTTCCAGCTCCCACAACAGGTCCATTTAATGTTAAAGCCCTGGATGGAAGAGTCCTCAGCTTTGGAGTCATCACTCTGCAGACTATTCCTCTGAGTCTCAGTCTTGGAAAAACTCATCACAAAACCATTTCTGTCTTTTGTATGCCCCATGGTCTGCCCCTTGTGAGGAGCAAGATGGCTCCTTAAGACAGGGCATCTATTATCAGGACTTGAACCAAATCACTGTCAAGAACCAATATTCATATGCTCACTCCTGGAGAGGTTCTGCCAGATTACGTTTTTTTTTTCTCAAATTGAGGAGGGCCTACAACCTGGTGCAAATCAGAAGAGGATGAAAGGAAGATAGCTTTTAACACCAGCACGGGCCTGTTACAAGTTCGGTAATAGGGACCGAACCAGTGAGTGAACCCACTTGCAGGAGCGAACAAAGCCAAGTCGTAATCCGAAACCAAACCGTAATCGTAGGAACGAGCCGAGAGTCCAGGGGAAGCAAGATATCCGAAAGGGAACGTGTACCGAAGCCGAAGCGTGATCCGAAGTCGTAGTCCGTAGAGCAATCCGAGAATCCAGAGGTAGCCAGTAATCCAAAACAGAGCGAAAGTACCAATCCAAGCCGAGATCCGAAAAGCCGAAGTCCAAAGGGAAAAACCGTAAACCGAAATCCAAGACAAACACAGAGTAGAGGAAGCGCAACCAGGAAGCTCGAAAGGGAAAACCAATACTGAGCAACGAGGTAGGGAAGGACAGGTGTTTAAGTAGGATGAGACGGGGGTGTGGTGGTGAATGGGAAAACTGATAGGTGAACTGATGGATAGGGACTACGCCTACTTCTTCCTCCTCCGTTGCCGAGAGGCAGGGATCGTAACATTACCCCCCCCTGACGCCCTAACGGGACGATCCGGGAAGTTAAGGTGGAAGTCTTGGATGAGGTTGGGGTCCAGAATATCCTTCTCTGAAACTCACGAGCGCTCCTCCGGACCGTAGCCTTCCCAATCGACGAGATATTGTAGGACTCCACGAGACCATCGGGAATCCAAGATTTTATTGACCGTGTAAGCAGGGAGTCCATCAATCACTCGAGGCGGTGGGGGTTTTTGTTGCGGTTTCGACAGGGTAGATCTGTGAAAGGGTTTAAGGAGGGAAACATGGAAAGTAGGGTGGATCCGAAGGGTAGGAGGCAAGGCCAGTCTGTAAGTTACAGGGGTGATCTGGGCGAGGACACGAAAAGGACCAATGTACCTGGGAGCAAGCTTGCCAGACGGTTGCTTAAGAGGGAGGTTACGAGTAGATAACCAAACAAACTGACCACGTCGAAGTCTGGGTGGGATACGACAGCGCCGATCAGTCACCTTCTTCTGCTGAGCGGAGGTGCAAAGAAGAGTGGCTTTGGCCTTCCTCCAGAAGGTCTTCAGGTTAGAGATGTAGTCCTGAACCGAAGGTACCTCTGTGTTGGGATGGGAGTCAGGGATAAGAGGAGGCTGATAACCTAAGGCACACTTAAAGGGAGACATGCCAGTCGATGTGGTATACAAAGAATTGTGTGCATACTCTGCCCATGGGAGCAAGGACACCCAATTATCATGGGTAGAGGAGATATAAGTCCGTAAATAGGTCAGCAGTTCCTGATTCATTCGTTCTGTCTGACCGTTGGCCTGAGGGTGATAAGCTGAGGTAAGTGAGACTGAGGCGCCCAGTGACTTACAGAAGGCCCTCCAAAACCGGGAGACAAATTGAGGACCCCTATCAGAAACAATATCCTTAGGGATGCCATGCAGTCGGAAGATATGCTGTACAAACAATTCTGCTAGTTCTCGAGCTGTAGTTAAAGATGGTAGGGGAATAAAAATGAGCAGATTTGGGAAAAACGGTCTACCACCACCATAATAGTCGTGTGTCCATGTCTGGGTGGAAGGTCAGTAATAAAATCTACTGAGAGGTGGGTCCAAGGACGGTCCGGGATGGGTAAGGGTTGAAGAAGGCCCGCTGCCCTCATCCGGGAAGACTTCATTTGGGAGCAGATAGAGCAGGCCTGGACATATTCCCTGACATCCTTAGCCATAGATGGCCACCAGAAGTCTCTGGAGATGAAATCCAAGGTACGGTGGAATCCAGGGTGTCCGGCGAAACGGGAGTCGTGTCCCCATTGTAAAACTGCCGATCTGACAGAATTAGAGACAAATAACTTGTCCTGAGGGCACCGAGGAGGTACCGTCTGCCCTACCAAGGCTCGTCGGACAATTACCTCAATGTCCCATCTTACCGCTGCCAGGAACTTACCAGATGGGATGATGGGTTCTGGAATCAATTCGGCCTCAGGGGGGTCGTGGATCCGTGAAAGGGCGTCTGCCTTGACGTTCTTGGAACCTGGAGTGTAGGTGATCAAGAAATTGAATCTGGAAAAAAAAAGGGACCACTTAGCCTGGCAAGGACAAAGACGTTTGGCCGACTGCAGATACTCCAGGTTTTTATGATCAGTGAAAATTAAAAAAGGGTGATGAGCACCCTCTAACCAGTGCCTCCATTCCTCCAATGCCAGCTTAATGGCCAAGAGCTCACGGTTACCGACATTGTAGTTCATTTGGGCAGGGGATAACTTCTTAGAGAAGAAGGCACAGGGATGAAGAATCTGTTTTTCTCCATGACGTTGGGAGAGAACCGCACCCACACCATGGCCAGAAGCATCCACTTCTACCACAAAGGGCAAAGTTGGATCAGGGTGTTTTAGGATGGGGGCTGTAGTGAACAGATGTTTCAGACGCTGAAATGCTTCTTCGGCTTGAGGGGTC